CATCATATTAATACGTTATACATTTGTATCTATGAAACAAAACTGTTTTAAAACCGCTCAGTTTTATCTTTAGTTCAGTCCACTCCACTGTTCTGTCGGGATTGAAGCTGGCTATGAGTTAAGGAAGCCGTGCTTTACTGAATGAAGCTGGATATAACGATCTTAAACAAAACGTCATCATATCGGCATAGATTAAGCTATATGTTGAAAAATAAATTGAATTTACAACTGTGTTTTATGTAACAAAATTATAATAAATTATACTGCATGTGAAGCTTTATAAACACAATTTCCTAACAATTATGGTTCTGCAAGAGATTTCAATGCATTTTAATGCAACCCATATAGAAATCTGAGATATGGAAATATATGCAAATTACACATATGACACACACGTTCATATTTGAATTTCACATGTATAAAATATGCCAAAATATTGCAATAATTGTGAATATTTTTTCAACCACTGGAATTACAAACACACACACACATATATATATATATATATATATATATATATATATATATATATATATAGTAAAAAATGCAGAGTTATTTATTTTACATTTTGTTCTTCTATATTTATATATTTACCCATATATTTATTATATATTAATTATATTTTTAGTTGGTTCATTATTAATTTATCTGTGTCTTGATTCATCTTTGCGTATTTATTGAAGGCCTCAGAAATAGGGAGGTGTGGGAGATGGGAGGGCTGGTGCATAGATGGAAGGTAGAAAAGTATAAGCTTGATTCTTGTTTTTGTTGCTATATAATTCATGTCATCTCTTTGTTGATAGGACTATTATTTTTCATATACATTTATAAGTATATATATTATCTGGAAAAAATGCAATAAAAATATTGAAAATAAAAAATGCAGAGTTTCACACAATAAATGCATGCTGTCCCAACACAAATCAATTAACTTAGCAAATTTAAGTGGATTGAACATAAACCAAGTGCCAAAAACTTTAAGAATTGTGTTGTTTCAGCTCATTTTAAATATAAGTTGTTTGAACAAGCAGTCCAAATCATTTTATGAGTGTATATACAATTATAACTGATATACATGTATTTGAATATTTATTTGTAATTCCAATGGTTGAAAAAACTATATATGAACAGGGCCGTTTTTGCAATATGTTGACATATATATGTGTGAAATACTGATAGAAACCTGTATGTCATTTATGTAATTTGCATGGCCATATATCAGATTTCTTTATGGGAACTCTCAAACATATTATTGCACAACCTCTCGGGCTTAGTGGGTAGTTAATTTCTTCCGAACTCATTTGTAATTCATACTGTATATCTGAGCTCTGCGACTGCACGGACATGACTTTATAGCCTCTGCAGTTGATAGGGAAATGCTGCTGGAAATGAACTGTGCTGGCTTGAGGGCTCCTGTTATATCCTGAACCTTCGAAAGATCTCAGAGCCAAAATCCATTCTTTGAAGAAGGGAATCTTATTGTTGAACATTGGTCATGCAGTGGTCACGATCATAGAGGATGGAAAATTAATTTTCATACCACCTATCAGCGAGCCTGTCTCATTCAAATCAGAGTGGCCACTGAAGCATTATATTTTCCATCCACTTTACTTGTGCATATGACACACTTTCCTTTGTTCGGTGGGGCTGGTCATCTGTGCATCACAGGGAGAGAAAGAAAGAAAATCAGGATGATGTTATCATATTATACTGTACTCTGACCGGGAGCTGTATTAGGAATTGATGTGGTACAGTAGGGGTATTTATTGTTAGCAGGTCAGTCTTGGTTGATGAACTGACTTTTCCTTTCTCGGCCTGTTTTTATGATCATACAGCAGAGAAGAAATTCACACTGAGCTACTAATATCCTTCTACTTTAGTTGGTGAGTCATTCAAACTTCAAGTATGTATTTAAGAAAACGTTAAAGAAAAGCATCAGTTCATGATCTTCATTAATATCAGCATATGTAATATTTGTTACATTGATTATTTAGCATATATATTATATATAATATTGTTATGAATAATATAATATATATATATGATATATTAGACTTCAAAAGCCTAAGTCTCAATCATTTTAAAAATAGCTGTTTTTTCAAATGCTGTTTTTTTATTTGCAATGTTTATATATTTCATATATATATATATTCATATATATATATATATGAATTATTAGACCTTTTGTTTATTCTTTCCCCAATTTCTGTTTTAACGGAGAAAATATTTTTTTCAACACATTTCTAAACATCATAGTTTTAATAACTCATTTCTAATAACTGATTTATTTTATCTTTGCCATGATGACAATAAATGATATTTTACATTATTATAAGACACTTCTATACAGCTTAAAGGGACATTTGAAGGCTCAACTAGGTTAATTAGGGTAATAAGTCAGGTTATGGTAATTAGGTAAGTTATTGTATTACAATGGTTTGTACTGAAGACTATCGAGAAAAAATATAACTTAAAGGGGCTAATAATTTTGTCTTGTTAAAAAAAAAACTGCTTTTATTATAGTCAAAATAAAACAAATAAGCCTTTCTCCAGAAGAAAAAATATTATTAGACATACTGTAAACATTTGCTTGCTCTGTTAAAAATCATTTGGAAAATATTTTAAAAAAGAAGAAAAAAAATTGAAGGGGGCTAATAATTCTGATTTCAACTGTATGTGTAAATATATATATTTATATATATGTATATATATATATATATATATATATATATATATATATATATATATATATATATATATATATATATATATATATATATATATATATATTTATGTATATACAGATATAACAGTTATTAAACAGATATTTTATTAAAATAATATTTTAGTCCTCGAACATGTTTAGAAACTGAAAGATAATACAATTACATTTAAGCTAAATATTGCAACAACAAAAAAAATACAACCTACAAAATGTCAACTAAATTTTTCTATTTTTTTGCTTCTTTTGAATTTTCCTCTTTTTAAAAATTTGCCTTTAATATTTTTCTATAACATAAATTTGGGTGTACTAGTTTTTGGACCATTATTGAAAGTTATTTTGTTAGATAAGCTCCAAATTTGGCTTCAGTACTAACTAATATAATGTATATGCACAAATATAATATTGTATAGCTTCAAATTAAAAATATGAATTTAAAAAAACAGATTTATGAGGAGTGTACTTTTATACACACACACACACACACACACACACACGCACACATGTACACGCACGCACGCACGCGCACACACACACACACACACACACACACACACACACACACACACACACACACACACACACAGAAGAAGTCAGAATTATTGGCCCAGCTTTGATTTTTTTTTTCTTTTTCAAGTATTTCCCAAATGATGTTTAACAGATTAAGGAAATGTTCACAGTATGTCTGATAATTTTTTTTTCTTATTATTTTTAGTCTTATTAGTAAAATTTGTGGAATAAAAGCAGTTTTTAATTTTCAAAACATTTTATGGACAAAATTATTAACCCATTTAGGCAATTTTTTTTCAATAGTCTACTAATTACCCTAACCTGCCTAGTGAACCTAATTAACCAAGTTAAGTCTTTAAATGTCACTTTAAGCTGTATAGAAGTGTCTTGAAAAATATCTAGTAACATATTATTTACTGTCATCATGGCAAAGATAAAATAAATCAGTTATTAAAGTTAAGTTATTAAAACTATTATGTTTAGAAATGTGTTGAAAAAATCTTCTCTCCGTTAAACAGAAATTGTGGGAAAAAATAAACAGGGTTGCTAACAATTCAGGGGGGCTAATAATTCTGACTTCTACTGTATATATTAAAAAGACAAACATATTTATTCAAAATATAAACCTAATAAAAAGAACCAAAAACATTACAAAAGGACAGTCATAACAGAATAATTAGAAACTATTATTACAGTTGAATACTATTAGCATTAGAAATGAATAAATAGCCCATTAAAACTGAGTCAAATATATGTCATATATATGCACAAATTTTATAATATAAATTGATATGATACCACTTTTGGTAACTGAATAATTTTGTATCCTGATAAACTCATAAACATTTACAACATAATTAAATAGTAACATAACTGTAATTATGGATTAATATACATCATGGCCATATATGTGTATATTTACAATAGCCTACCTATTTATTGATATCCACATGTTTATTTATAAGATGTAATCTATCTATCTATCTATCTATCTATCTATCTATCTATCTATCTATCTATCTATCTATCTATCTATCTATCTATCTATCTATCTATCTATCTATCTATCTATCTATCTATCTATCTATCTATCTATCTATCTATCTATGAAAACACAAAACAGTACAAAATGACAAAGTTATAACATTAATTTCTTGTCGGCTTAGTCCCTTTATTAATCTGGGGTCGCCACAGCAGAATGAACCGCCAACTTATCCAGCAAGTTTTTTACGCAGCGGATGCCCTTCCAGCCACAACCCATCTCTGGGAAAAAAGTTATAACAGAATAATTAAAAACTATTATTACTGTTAAATACGATTAGCATGAAAAATTAATAAATAGGAATATGATATATGCTAGCCTATATGATATCATACGACTCTTAGTAACTGAATGTTTATATGTATCATGATAAAATATACAATACAAATATGTAATAATAATAATAAAACTTTATAGTAACAATTGTAATTTTGGTATAAAATACATCACAGCACAAATATGTCTATATTTACAATATAGCCTTCCCTTCCTATTTATACCATTTATTTTATTTTTATATAATACAGCTATTTTAAGGGCTTCAAAGACTTAAGTAGGTAATTAGGGTAAATTAAAAACAAACATTCAGTCAAGTAGATGCAAATTTTTGGGTGTAGACTGGAAAAAAATATACAGCAAAAAAAGGTAATAAGAATATGGTAATAAAACAGAGTGCTTCTCTACTGGGGTGAAGTCTTAAAACCATCAAGTCTTATTCTTCCCCTTGTGCTCAATGTGCGAAAGAGCTCAGGGAGGCTCTGCCTGTTCCGTTGCATTCAGACTCACTGTCATTTTAACTTCCTTCCTGCCTTTTGTACATTAAACAAACATACGGCTCCGACGCGACGTGTCGAACAGTTCGAGCGACATTCTAGAACGTTTAGAATTATTTAAACTGCAGAAAGAACTTTTGGAATGTAACAGCAACAGAACAACAGGAGTTATTATTCTGCTACGTGTCCCGAATTCGCGAATGCGCGCTTCAGCGACTATTTAAACAACAGCGTCTGCAACAAGGAGACTTGTAGGTAAGCATCCGACTTCGGTCTGACATGCCGCGAAAGTTCACTTTTATGAAAGATTTACATGAAAGAGGAGAGCTAAAACAGCCAGACTCAACCATTCGGCTTCACGAACTGTACAGTAGTGAATGTACTGTAGAGAGTAGCCGAGATCTCAAGTTTTGTTTATGGTATTGTAAGAATGCAAGCGTTTTCTATTCGAGGTTGTGATAACAATTGTGCAAGCTGTCGACACGGATATTAGGAAAACTGAATAAAACATCCTGTGGATACAGATGAATGTCCATTATGAGTGAAATGAGTATGTGTCTGAATGCTTATGAATGTGTTCCAGCTCAGCAAGAACTGAGATTAAGTTTTCTTTGCATCACAGTGACGTCAATCTTCTTCTTATTTATGTATTTCTGTACTCAGTGTAGTTTTCTTCTTCTTCTTGGAATAACAATATGACAAATGTTTCTACTGAGTTCATAAGAGAGTCACCACGTGTTTTCTCATCTCATTCAAATTCAGTGAATGCCAGAGAGTGGGCAGTTCAGTGAAGGGCTTTTATTGAGATGCTTTAAAGCTTTGCAAGAGTCATATTAACCCTCTACTGGTTTATGATCATCTTCGGTGATGATTGGAAGCACACTTACATTGAAACACAAAGTGTAAGTGTTTCACCAGTGTTGTGGGATGTCTCAAGATGCATTTGAATAGTCAGTGCCATAATGGACCGTTAAAAATCACTTAAAAGGGAGGTGGTTGTGCTAAATGAGAGGAGGTACATTCCACCCTTGACCTCTCCCCTTCGAGTTAAAATGCAGGGCACAATCGGTTCATCCAACCTGACTTTTTAGTCAAAGCATGTGATGTTTAGCTGGAGTCTCTATGAAAGATATTACTATTAAATACAAGATCCTGAAGATGTGGGTGTTTTCATTTGTTTCTGGTTGCTAGAAGGTGAGTGTTTAGGAAAATGATATACTTGCAGAAATCTGTTGCTGCTTTTTTGGGGTGTGTTGGCTCTCAGATCATTTGCCTCGGCTGTAAAAATAATTAGAACCACTTGGAAAACTTGCAGGAAACTGTTCTGGTTCATTATGAAATCATTTGGCGGAGCGTTTGACTTAATCAAATTTCAACGCACCAGTTAAACGAACTTTTCCCCATGTCGTAGATTTTGCTATAAAAGGAAGCAGATAATTGATACCTCACGGACTGTTTTTCCTTGAGATCTTCAGATGTTTAACATCAGAGAGGTTGAGGCCTTGCAACGATCACTGTTGGCAGAGTAAAAAAAAATTTATAGGTATTTTTGTGGTATTTGAAAATAAATGTTAACAATTATCTTTTAGTTTACAGTCTAGCAAGATAAACTGAATGTGATATAAGTGTAATGGTATGTGGAATATTATTTTTGTGTTGTACTGTATTACGTCATTGTCTTTTCGAGGCAAAGACATAAAAGGTCTTGAATGATTCTTTGTATGTGCTTTTATGCTGCTTTTATATTTTTGCCAATGGAAAGAAGTAATAATGTGTGGACAACACTGACTGAATTAGCAAAGCAAGTTAAGACTAGAAGCAAAACTTGATAAAAAGTTTTTATAGATATATGTCTATGCAAATGTCATGAAAAAAAATAAGTTTTCGCCAAAATATTGAAACTGTTTCTGCGTTTTTTGTGTAAGTATTTTACAATGCTTTAAAAATACTCAAAAAAAATCTGTTAATGTTATTAGATAAACTATTATATTTGATTTACCAAAGTCACACAAGTGCCAATTTCACATCTATCACATCCATAACAGAGAGATGTCACATCCATAACCAAGCTTTTTCCTCATGAATGCAAAAAATGTCAAATAAAATAAAATCAATCGTTTTTGTTCTATAGTGAGCCAACTCTTATCATTGATTAGCATTATTTCTTTCGGGTTGTGCAGTTTAATTCACAGAGTTACTACAAAGTATGCTGTATACTGTAAACTTGCAGACTTTTTCGGTCAAATCCATAACGCATGTTTATTTTTCTCATTTAAAATCTAAAAATGTTTACAGACTGATATTTTTCTGCTCCCATACCTTTGTGGTTTGTTGTTTTGAAAAATATAAACAGATGTTTCAATTTACAGTTAGCATACACTTTCTCTGTGTATTCATGTATTAAGTTTTTACTGCAAATGTCACATCAATAAGGCTGGAATTGCTCATTTCGATGTTACACTGCAGAGGCAAACGGAAACATCTTGATAGCCATCAAAAATTTATACAACACAACACAATTATATAAACCTTTCCTGAGCAGCAGAAGGCATTTATAGACTAATTTTGTCTGTACTTCAGGAAAAATATTTAATGTTCAATAATGTGAGCACAATAATCAACCCAAGGCACTTTTGCATTTCTGAAATGCATTTACATTTATTGAAATTATTCAGGTAGTCTTTCTTGTTATAACATCCATCATATTCACTTTTTGCACAACAGTACTTCAAATATTAAGAGCATATGCTTTTTACATCTCTTGTGCTTCTTTTCAGAACTCGGCTAAGGATGAACCAGTGGTGCATATAATATGTAAACGAGGAAAGGAGTCTAGGATTGTATTTTAGTATTCTACATATCAGTTTTCCTTTAGTTCCTCCCAATGATGGTTAGGTCCAAAGGCCAGTGGATCTTGGATGAATAAACCTAAATGGGAGCAAAAACGGACAGGTCTAGCCTGCCATTATGGCAGCTTATGCTCTGAACAGCTTGATAATGATGAACCCTAACAACCTGACCAATAAGAACAGCCCTCGGACAGGAAGGCCTGTGCTCCCAGTACCTAGTCGTTCAACATTCAGCCCACCTCTGGGGGGCAGCGGAAGTCCCTATAGCCCAGGCAGCCTGAGCCCTGGCTCTTCAGGAAAGTCATTTGTCTTCCCAACAAGTACTGGTTCCAGTTGTCAAAGAGCACTTTCACCATGTCGAAGGCCAGAATCGCTGGGTGTGCATGTGGGAAGTCGTGTGCGCAGACTCAGTGGGTCAGGTCTGGAGGAAGAACAGGAGAACGAAGAGCGACGTGTTGCTCTGCAACTTGAACGCAACAGGGAATTGCAGAATGTGGGGGTGAACAAGAAGGTGGACCTGTTTGAAGCCCAAATATCAGCTCAGGCTTTCAGTCGAGAGGTTCAGCGAAGCCCAAGGATTTCTAGAAAATCTCCTCATTATTTTGCCCCTGTCCAACTTACCAACCTTAGCTTGAACCCAGAGGAAACACTTGCAACACGAAACAAGGATCACTCAACGGGGATCCCCAAAGAACTGCAAAATGGAAAGCGCTTCTCTGGCACGGAGGAGGGGCTGCAGGTCAGCGGTGAAGAGAAGGATGGGGCCGACCCAAATACAGAAGAGGGCGGCCCACATAAGAGCACATCAGCTGGAACTAAGAGCGATGCTGACAGCCTTACAGACAATCACTCCAGGACTTTATCAGAGGCCAATGACTGCTCAGCATCTTGGACCAAGACATGTTTGACAAAGCCAGGAGCTGAGCCAACAACCCAGGCAGAGCCTGACGGAGTTAGTCCAGAGTTAGGCTCCATCCCCACTGTCATTATTACGGACGACGGTATGGAGGTCAGTGGGGAGGTAAAAGAGGCTGAGGTTAGTCCTCAAACTAACAGAACCCTGAGGAAGCTCTCCTCCTCTTCTGCCTCATCAACGGGATTTTCCTCTTCCTGGGAGGAATCAGAGGACGACATCTCCAGCGACCCAGAGCGGTCCCCAGCCTTTCTGCAGACACAACAGAAAGCGGTAAGTCCGTCAGATGTATTCTCTTCAGTTTTTTCTTTTTTAGAATTTGTTAGGTTGAGTAAACTGTAGGTGAACATCTGACAGGAAAGTACATCTTCAGGAAAAATTGTACATTTAACGGTACACATACTTGTCATCAGGACAGAACCTTAAAAGTGAAAGTTTTATATCTTCATTTCTACCACCAAAATGGTGCACCTCAGAGTAGTAATATTTAGCCTAATTAGATGTATATATGACACAATAAAGTTGTGATTTAAAGGGAACTTCCACATGGAAAAGCTGCTGTAGCCCTAAAGGTGTGATTTTGGCAATTTTTTTGGGACTGAATAGAAAGTCTGAAAGGATCAGGGTTTGATCCAGTTCCACATGATTGTAACAGGTCTTAATGTGTAAAGCTCCATGCTAGCCTCTATGCCACAGCTCAGACGACAAGCCGTTACGTTAATTCAATCACTCTGATCTGTAGGAGGCAGGAGTTTGATTGGTTTCCAATTTACAGCAGCAAATTACACAGTAATCCAAAGTGATTAATAACACAGCTAAGATAAACCTTTTGTCAGTTCATGCGTTTCCTGGGAATCAAATGTGACTGCCATGCTTTACTTTTTGAATTTCAGGAATACCTGTGAAATGGGATGTAGCTTTTTAGATGTCTGTAGATTTAAGATGTCTGCAGAATCGCTTTAGGTGTACAGCAAGAAGCTACATTCAGTGCCAAAGGTCTGACAACATGCCCTTAAGTTAATTCAATCTCTCCGATCCGTTGGAGACAGTGGTTTGACAGTTTTCCAATTTAGGGCAGCAAATTTCATTTCAGCATTTAACTGACTTCGTAATCTAAAGTGATTTACACCACATTTAAGGTATACATTTCCTGGGATGCATGACCTTAGTAATGCAAGTCCAATCCTTTAATGTTTGAGCTACATGAATCCATATGAAATGTGATACTGGTTTTAGGATGTCTGTAGATTTGGTGACATAGATTTTACCTTGATTTGATAGCTTGTACAGTCCCACAATTCATGTTGTGTATTCTCGACATCCTTCAGCGCTTTTACACTGTCCTTGTGCTTTCCTGCTCTGGGCTCGTCTGTATTCACCCTGAGTAACTGTTGACATTCTCACATACAAAGGTACTTCTGTGTCCTGCTGTCAGATGGACTTTTTTCTCTGACTTTAGTTGGCTGCCCTTTAAACAAAGTACAAAAGCAGAGCGAGGAACAAATAACCGTGTATTAAGTTAGCAACAGCTCAACATATTCATACTCTAAATTTCCTGATTCGTATCATAGACTACTTCACCTGTACGGCAAGTCTCTTTATTAGCTTTTCAAATAAAAACATTCATTTTGATATGGAAATCCAATAGTCAACAGCATTAGCAGTTCCAGCGAACTCATTAGCTTATACAATCATGTCCTGTAGAAGTGACACGTGTGATGCTTTGTCTAAGGAGTTACGCTTGTCTCTGCGGCTTGTTTGCCCTAGAGAGAAAGTGTGTGTCCGCCTATTAAGCCATGTCGCGTTTGCAGGCGCATCAAGAGACCCATGTGGCCAGCCTGCTGTTACAGAGGAGTCATTGTTTAGACATGGATGTCACACAGTCCTCCAGCCTCACACTAAGTTGCAGAATAATGTGGCTCTGCTCGCCACACAGGCAGATCCCTTTATGTGACGTCTGTTCCCTGTAAACACACAACGGAGGAGAGCAAACATCCTATTGTACCATCTGGAGGAATGATGGTGCTCATAAAAGATAGTTTAACTATTCACAGTGATCACAGGGGCCAAATTACTTGATAGCCTTGAACTTCGGTGATGAAATCTTCGCTGTTCCCGGACATTTACAATGGAATGACTTTGGTTTTGGAGGGCAGTTATATTATGTGACCTGCATGTCAGTGAATGGTCTATTAAAGTGAGCTTTATTGCTCACTTTATGGGGCAGATAAGGTCACTCTAGTGTAGAATTAATGCTTTTCAGTCTTGCACGAGTTGAATAAGAAGGATTTGTGAAAAACGTACCCATACGGGATGCGTAAGAGAAGTTGATTTTTAAATTGTTTCATTTTTTCTTACATTTTGATTGAACACTATAGAGTAAAACAGGAAAAAATAGGAAAGGTGAACAGGGCCAGGAAATGAGCCAGGATTTAGACCTCGGATCACCTGAGGTGCAGCTGAGCTATATTTTGAGGGCTGCCCACATGGTTATGGCTCCAAAAACCAGTTTTGAGATCCATGCCCTCGATTGCATTCTGTTTTGCCCCATCTAGCTATTTTTGAACATAACAACATTGCATTTGCAACATAAAAGCCCCCATTTAGAGATTGGTCTAAACAGTAAAAGGTTAACTTGACATCATAAAGATGATACAAGGGGTTTCCTTGCTCCATAGTGCCGTAAAACAGAGGCCCAGGTTCATAGTAGTTCAAGGTCACATCCCAATACTATTCTGTCTCTCTTTACTATGTTGAACACTTTTCATGCATGTGACTAAATATAGCTATTATATACACTTACTGGCCACTTTATTAGGTACACTTCACCAACTGCTCGTTAACACAAATTTTCAATAAGCCCATCACATGGCAGCAACTCAATGCATTTAGGCATGTAGACATGGTAAAGACGATCTACTGCAGTTCAAACCAAGCATCAGAATGGAGAAGAAAGGTGATTTAAGTGACTTTGAACGTGGCATGGTTGTTGGGTGCCAGACGGGCTGGTCTGAGTTTTTCAGAAATTGCTGATCTACTGGGATTGGCACAATCATCTCTAGGGTTTACAGAGAATAGTCTGAAAAAGAGAAAATATCCAGAGAGCAGCAGTTCTGTACTTATCTTTTGATGGCTACTTCCAGCAGGATAACGCGTCATGTCATAAAGTGTAAATCATCTCAGACTGGTTTCTTGAACGTGACAATGAGTTAACTGTACTCAAAGGGCCTCCACAGTCACCATATCTCAATCCAATAGAGCCCCTTTGGGATGTGGTGGAGATTCGCATCATAGACATGCAGCCGGCAAATCTGCAGCAACTGCGTGATGCTATCATGTCAATATGGACTAAAATCTCTATGGAATATTTCCAGCACCTTGTTTAATCTATGCCAGTTCTGAAGCCAAAATGGGGCCCAACCTGGTACTAGTAAGGTGTACCTAATAAAGTGGCCGGTAAGTCTATATTTAGATAATAACATTAGATCAGCCTTTTCGTCTGTTTAATATTGTATATTTTGCTCACTCTAGCTCATTTTAGTGTGTGAGGACCAAGATAGGTGACTTTAGTTCAGGGTTCTTTGATCTATTTTATCTAAACCACCTTTTCCCTACATTCCACTTAAGAAAGTGAATTTTGAGAGCAACTTTTGTTAAGATATTAGTTTCAAACTTAACTTTAAGAAAGCAATAAAAAATCAATTGCAAAATCAAAACTCAACAAGATGACATTATTCTCACTTTCCAATCATCAAAACATCAGAAACAAGCTTAAATTGCTATCAGCAGACCATGAATTACGCTGAAAGGTCAAAAAAGTTTTTTTTTTTCAACAGAAATATTCTGCCTTAAAATATTATATTATTGTGTTAAAGCTGCAGTTAGTAATGTTTGCTGCTGTAGTGGATATTACATAAAACTGCATCCTTTTTTTAGAAGAACACTTTTTAGAAGAGCTCTTTTTGCAGATGGCAAGAAGATACTCTTTGCTGCAGAGATCGACAACTGATCTAAAGCTACATATTGCAGCTTTAAAAATGACCAGATTGCAAAACATGCATGTATGTCATATTTATCAACACTCTTCCATCATTATCTGAAACACTGCTAGATATTGCAGAGTGCTTTCCCTCATATTGATAGATAAATGCTGTATTTTCCCACTTTAGAAATAGCATTTACCGTAAACACTGATAATAGAGATTATAGGGAAGTTAAAAAAGGAGAAAGTTATGTTTTGAAGTGCTGTGTAAAATACAGGAAAGCAGAATGAGTGATTAAGAGTTATTTGCTAAATGAGTTGTCTTTAATTTATTGTATATACTGTACTGTCAGTTGTCCGTACGATTGAACTAAAAAGAAACAAATCAGCAAGTACAGAACACAGCTTGTGGACTGAAAATAGATTCTGTTTCAGATATACTTGTGATACCAATGTCACAAAAATACCAACTGTTATATAATGTCCCTACCCTAACGGGTAAAAATAAAGCACGATGGAAAATGTAGAGCTCGTTTAGTCAGAACTGACAGATAAGATTGATTTGTAGAGCTGCCTTATTATTTGAAATGACTTGTTTCCGTCATCTTGATTGACAGCTCTCCAAACCAGAATTGTCACCTTATAAAAGGTGAACTAGAACAGTTTAAGTGACTTGAAGAGCTTACATTAAGGAAAGAAGTTTACATTTTTTTAAACAAAAAGGATTATACAGTATAATGGCACTTGTAATAGTATGCATTATGCTAGTTAGATATGTTAGTTCAAAAAAGAAGTGTTAACCCACAATGTGCAAATACAAAAAAGTAAATTAATTAGTTAAATAAAAAATTACATCAAAGACCAATTTTAGTCATTATCTTTAGCATATCATAGGCCAGATTAAAATGTGAAAGTGATGTTTGAACCAAAGCATGAACACCACTGCAAATAAAACATGCAGTACTACTGTACATCTGTAAATACAACATCTGAATAATCTTTAAATTGCCATTAATGCATTCATTCAATGTTAATTAGTTCCCTGATATCTACACATTAAGTAGGTAGGTAAACAAATAGGTAAATAAAAAAAATCTCCAGAAAAAGTTCTATGTGTGCACTTATAAACACAGAAATGAGCCCTATAATGAAAGGCTCACTTTTGACCATATTTGGAACATTAGTGAATATTAATGAGCTCTGCTTTGACGCTCTGCGGCTGTATAAGTGCCTGAAATTTGCTCTCTCACGCATACACAAACACACACATGCAATTTAATCATACTTCAGT